CTTTTTTTCATGGGATGGAGGGAAACAACTATCTTACTTTCTCGCATGAGAGTGACTAAGAGGACAGCTATGCATAATATATTTGACAGTGCATGTTTAAAAGGTTATTCCTTTCCGTTCAAAATTAGGTCAGTTCATCACTGCAAACGAATGCAGGAGGAGGCGGTGAGACTTGATGTTCTGCAGTGTGTCTGTTTATCACTTAAATTTTGTTTTCTGTCTGTCACTGTCAGGGCCAACACGCATAAGAACCACCACTCCAAGGCATACATCATCAAAACTGATGCAGGGCAGCAGTGGAATTATCAGCAATCTGGCATGTTTCTGGTATATGTGTAATCCAAAGTGCAGAGCTCCACCTGCTGGTCAGAGAGAGCTACAACAGCACTAAACAGGCCTGAAGCACCAACATTTGGATTTACGACTGCAATGTCCACAGTCATTTTACTGAATGGGACACCGTAGCTTTACCAGCAGGTTTATTAATGGACAAAGAGCCGGCATTAATATGCACTGAGCAAAGACAACCAGCTGTGATATTATGTTTCTTTGAAGCAGTATAAGGAGAGCCCTCTTCTATATATACATGTAGTATGAGTCCGACATAAAGTAATTATACTAAACACTTGTGTTTTGTTGAAACTGGCCTCACTTCCTTATTGTCACTTGTCATCGCCACTGCTGTGTATAAAAAAATGTAATAATTGCAAAATAAACAATATTTTTTCTTTTTTGATCTTATTAAAACCCGGTATATAGAAAAGTATTGACGTAGTAACTCTTTCCTTTGCCACAAACTGGACTTGCTTATTCAGTAAAGGTGAAAAATTACAGAAATACCCATTGAGAATTGTGGAGATATTTCATGTTTTTGTTTAATCTTATATGGGCTACACATCAACAATTATATTGTTTGACTCCACCCCAAAGAGGTGTGACCCCCTGTTAAATCTATTATTTTACAAAACTGCAATAACAGAAATTCAAGTAAACTTATTTGGGACTTTTTGGGTGGGCAATGCTGTGTAAAAAGTTCTCTGAGACCTCAAACAGAAGTAATGTATATTTTTTTGCAGCTTTTGAAAAATGTCAGTTCATGATTAATGACAATTGTTACAAATATAGGAAAAGTCATGAAGTAATAAAAAATATTATGTCTGTGTTGTCAAAGGAGGGGTGGGGTCTCCAGGACCCCAAACAGAACATTAAGATGAATATTTCAGAGGTTGTCAACCTCTGCAAGGGGTCGCAAGGTCAATCTCAGGGGTCACAAAATGATTCACAGAATAGGAAAGCTTAAAAATGTATTATGGGACTTCAGGGAGTCTTTGTTTTTTTTTTTGTAAATTATTAAATAATTTTACCTAAAGATTACTGATATAAATCAATCCGGGAAGGAAAAACTGCTCTTTGGCTATCTGTTGGCCAACAACCAAGAGACATGTGCAACCTCAGATGAGGGGCCACAAATGGTTTTATGGGGTCACAAGCTAAAGAAAAAGTAGAGCTGAGCTATAATTAAAAATTCAACAGATACTGTCCCCTGATGGGAACACCATGTGGATTTTGCAGTGAGACTCAGACTACCCTCAAATGAATAAGTATGTTCCTAGAGCAGGCTGGGATAACCTAAGCTCTTGATGCTTCTTCAGTGGATTCCTATTAGCAGAGCTTAAAAGCTGTCATTTCAGTTAAGCCAAGGCAAATCACCTGAGCTTCATGTCTAACGGGGGGGATGGAAGCAAAACTGAAATAAATGACGAAATAGGCAAATGACAAAACTGTCATATGGGAAATAGAAAAGAGCAGAACAGAGTAAAACAGACAGGAATAGAGCAGCATAGACAACATTTATAGAATCAAGCTTTTCCTCTGCCAACTGGCCACACATTGAGGAGAGGCCTGCACTACAACTCCAGGGCTCTAATTACCATGTGATTAACCTCTTCAGGATTAACAGGGCAGCGAAGAGACACGAGAAAGGTCAAAGGTTGGTTGCTTAAACAGCCACTCCAGCATGAAGGGTGGTCTACTACATGAAAGGCCACACTAATATCTGCCCGCCTGTGTTCAAGCATCTTTACAATACGTACTGTAGCATTCGTCCCGCAGTACTCATCCCTCCGTGTTAAATTTCAACAGCATGCAAGGTCAGTTGCCTTATTATCGTAAAAATAAAAAAACTGCTGTACTCAATTAGAAAAAGGCTCTTTGAAAATATAAACACACCACCCAAACACCTGGTGTGTGTTGGCAGCCATGAGACAGACTGCAGGTGGGGATGAATTAAAGCAAGTCTTCACCAGAGGAGGTAATCATGAATAAAACATCACACTTTCGTACTTGTTGAGGCTGTAGCTTTTTAGCACTGCTATAACTCCTGGTTGTTGTCCCCCATTGGCAGGGGAAATGGGAAAAGATGATTTTTTAAAATAATAATATAGAATCCAAAATAGATTTGCTACCTTGCACACGCTGACATAGTACATCTTTAAGATAAGGTGCCGAACTGAATTAGGAAGTAAATGTGTGGTAACTGAAAAGGAAGGCAGATCCCTGCAATTCTTTAATTAAAGCGATTTTGGTTTTGTCAGTCTGTTACTCCAACAGAGAAACAAAGAAATATGGTAGCTGGGATGTGTGTGTGCACTTGTAGAGCGTGGGCAGCTCATGGCAACCTGCCATTCTTCCAGTGTGTGTGTATCCATGACGGATAGAGAAAGCATGTGGGAATGTGTTAACCTTTCTGCCCAGACGGGGACAGCGTCTCCAACCAAACAAGATCACCGTCACTGCCACTGTTTGAGGGATGTTTAACTGCTTTATTTTTTGATCCCATGCTGTCCAGTGACATAAATCACAAGAACCTTTTAATCAGTCTTGCAGTGTGACCAGTGTAAGGGCACCGTCATACCAATACCGGGGCCATCACCACAGACAGACCAGAATTAAAAACTCTGGTATACCGCAAAATACACATAGATTTACCCAATGGTGATATTTTATGAACTTGTTTAGCAAGGCTTGATTGGCAAGGCCTGACTGAATCTTATTTTTTTCTGTCATTTAGCTTATCATTTCACATTCTGGATGTGAGCACAATAACAACTCACCAGCCTTCACATTGCTTCAGTTCAATGCAGAGACTCATTGTGGTATATTTCAGGTAAAATTAGCTTTCACAAAAGATGACAAAAGTGTTAATAAGTCATAGCACCAATCAGAAAATGTGAGTGCGTGAGCGAGGGACTAAAGCAGGAGACAGTGCGAGACAAACTGAGAGAAAGAACGTGTTTACCAAATATTCCCTGAAGCAAGACCCCATCATCTACATTCACATAGACATTGAGTTGAAAGCTGCTTGTGTTCTTCCTCTATGATCTTATCTGATTGTTCTTTATCTTTTTGTTTACCAGGACCCAGATGAGGACGCGCATTATATCTCCCTTAAATCTCAGGCCCCTGTGTCATGTTTTTGTACTCATCCCATTTTATTAAATAAGACAAAACTCTGGTGCTACTCACTACTTCTTTAAGACCATAAAACAATCTGCGCCAGCATGCACAAAGAGCTGTTATAAAGGGCATCCACACACATTCAAATGTACAGTTTCACTCACACACACACACACACACACACACACACACACACACACACACACACACACACACACACACAGAGCAACTGAACCAATCGTTTAAGGTCTCTGAGGCCTCGATAAGCTTCTGTAAATCAGCCACCATCCGGCAGTGAGTTTTATTCCCCTCTCTCTCAGTGGATGTTGGGTTATGACCCGTAGGCAGGAGGTTATTTATTGCTTCTGTCTCAGCTTGTGTTGACTCCCAGGCACTCATCTATGGTTCTAGGCTAATAGAAAGGAGCACAGGGTTGTATATCTGCAAGAAGCCTGCTCAGCTGCAGGGACTCGACTCAATAGTCTCCCCAGACCCTTGTCTCCCCGGATTCTTAATGTCTCTCAATTCTCAGATTTCTTACTCTTTTTAAAATGACCAAATCAAAATGAAAACCTGTGAGTAGACCTGGGGTGAATGAAACCCTATCAATAAGTGTTACTGTGAATCAGGAAAAGAGGAAGGAGGGTTAAAGAGCTGAGAGAAGGCCCACAGACCATAAACATTTCCTAGCGGCTGCTGGGATAGATGATAGACAACATGCAGCCTGCTGCCCCTCATCTTTCTCCAGCACATAGGAAACATCTCTATTCTCAGAGATGGCTGCCTCCTTTGTAATGGAAACTTGAGGTGTTATGTTGGAAAATGAGAAAACATGAAAGGAGTAAATTGTCAATGCCAGAATGAAACTTAACCTTGACACTCTGAGATGCTAAGACGGCTGTGAAAGACCTTCTTCGCCTCCTCCCCAATTCTTTCTTACCTTCACACAGTTGCTGTGAAACAATCTCAACAAGGCTGTCATCCTTTACAATGGACCGTCTAACCCAAACTGGCAACTCCAACCTCACCGTAGTTTGAAATACGGGCCCACTTGCCATTTCTACAGTGCTGACAGCAGCTGACAGTTAAGAGGAACAACCACACACTGAGAATATATGAGGGGGTCCTTGAGTGATGACAGCACGGGAAAGATGGAGAGCTGTGATGTAATGGAGACAAGGCCGCTGACTGATACTAAAGAGGCCAGTTTGTCTGCTCCAGTTCACAACCATTCATATCCAAGATCTATGTCTCTGAGGTGAGAGCAACAGAGACGCCCCCTGCTGGCCATAAGAAATAATGCAGGTTTAAGGCACTTCGCACTGGCTTTAATTTTCAGACCCTGAAGCTCTGTCCATTATCTATTATACAGGACATCTTTTGGAAGATCTCTCCAATAGAGTTTTAGAGACCTTGAAAAACTTTGCAATGAAGCATTGGAGCTGTTCTGGAGGATGGCAGTGGTTTCTACCTTACTAAGACACTTGATGTTGGTTTTATTGAATTTGTCACCAATCTGTTTTATTGACCTATTTAAGACAAACCTTTTAACAATGTCGGTTCCATTCCAGCAGGACAGTCCGTCACCAGAGGCCAGCTCACTCACACACAGCTGATCTGCCAGGCCACCGTAGTATGTACGGTAGAAACGTAGACCATTCAGAAAGTCCCTGAAAACACAGCCACATGCCGACACACACACACACACACACACACACACACACACACACATTATTAACTTGTTTAACAAGGTGTTTTAAATATTAATGGTAGATTTAATGAACTAAAATCTGAAAATGACACTTCTTTCTATGCACACATCTGTCATCTTTCAACCACTTACCTTCTCTTGACAGCGAGCGAGTCCCCTGACACTCTGACAAGAGCTTTGAAAGGGATGGATTCTCTGCTGCTGTGCTGGATGCTGACTGACTGCGCAAGCTTCCTGCTTGGGGGGCCACACAGTTTGTGCACCTATTACCCAACGAGACAGACACAAATTCAAGTCTAAACACAGAGAGAGAAACAGGCTATTTAAATCTTGTTATATTGTACTGGTGTGTGACAAATAAGCCTTATTTTAGATAGCTGAGTGACAGCTGTTTATACTAAGGCCATTAGTGCAACCAAGCCTATCATCTCGAATTTTTTAATGTACTGCATGTGCAGCCTATCGAGCAGCAGGGACAAAGACAACCACTAGATGGAGCTGTGGTGTCTCTATCAGAACAAAAAAAAAAGACTTGAGTTTAGGTACATCCTGAGAAGATTCACTACAAATAAACAACATATAACATAAATGTAGACAGAAAGTTACATGTTAATACTTTATGGTTAGACTTAATAGTTAGACTTGTGTTATTTTTTTTGTAGGATAAAGACTTCCTGAGTAAATAAGTCAAAGCCTGAGGAGTAGCTGTTGACACTCTGGATTTGGCCTGAATCCTTGTCGGCCTGGTAGTTAAACTATTACATTTCTGACCACCTTGGAGCTTCCCACATGGATGCATTTTTGGAGAGTTTTGGCCTGCACTGGTCTGACTAACCTGTTGTGTGTGGTATGAGCAATTTCAAACAATTTATTTTTGGTCTCCACACGACATACCTATCAGACATGGAGTTAGCAGCTGGAACAGCAGTGTAATTCAGAATAAAAATCTCTCCAGGACTGAGTAAAAATGTTTACCCACTTTCAATCCTTTCTTCCAGATTTACTGGTTTCAAGTCCACCATCCTAAACAATACAGAATCTCTCCTCAAAGATGACCTGACCTGTGCTGAGAGGCGGGGTCCATTTTTCTGAGCATGTCCAACAGCATCGTGAAGCAGCGAGTGAACTCCCAAAAGTACTTGCTCCAAATCCTGAGGTCCGTGCATCCGTGCTGACAGGCCCTCCAGGGAGCGAACAAACTCCCTCCAATGGGTGTCAATCTCTGCCATGCTTGCCAAACAGCCCCGCATCACGTTCAGGCAGTAACCCATGCAGGGCTTGGACTGGGTTAAGCCCTGTGAAGAAAATTACTTTGAGATCAGTGATGCTGGGAAAAGACTTTCATTAATTCAGATCAATAAACTCAGTTCAGACACATGAATCCATACCTGGCAGTGAGGACAGTAGTGCATCTTGAGCAGGGCCCGTCTGCACTCGCGGCTCAGCTGTAAGTGGTCTGTGGTATTGATGACCTCGATGCCGAGGTGCAGCGCCTGAAGAAGAAGCTTCCCGGAGACCCCTGAGCGAGCAATCTGATCAGCCAGGACGCTGGGCGCCCCACCAAATGGTCTCACATCACGGCTGGATGACCTTACACACTCTGCATAGCCTGGCGATATGTCGCTGAGGCCTGGGTTGATGAGGTGATTATAGACCAGTGGAAAGAGAGCGTCGAAGAATCTCTGTACTAAGTCATCAACGTTGAGCTCAGACCCCAGCAGGAAGAGACCGATATCGGTGAAGAGTTCCTGCACAGGGCCCACAGCCTGATCAGCCATGTTGCGGTACGACTCCTGGAGGACCACATTAGTGTGATTCTCCGCCTGCCTCATCAGGACCTCAAAGGTATCTGTTGGATGGACAGCAGGAGAGAGACAAAGAGAGAAAAACAGACAAAAGATTATAGAGGGACTACAACACATTCCCACACGTCATCATCTTTTATCTTGCTTCAAAGTTAAGTTGCCCTTGCTGCCTGATGAGAAATGAAAGCCTAAATATTCTCTAACTGGCAACACTAAAGGCTGAAACCACCGTGCTGTAATATGAACAGGGCTATATAGAATACGGTGTCCCTTATAGAGCTTCAGGGAAGCAATTTGTTCTCTAATCAAAAGCCAAGCTGACAAAAAGAAAGCGGTTACAACACATCAGAGAGTGTTTTAATAAACCAACCACTTCTACCAAACCAGCATGAGTGGTTGTGTCAGTGAGAGGAGAGGAGAGAAAGACTCCATATGTCATGGGAGTTTTTGGAGTGAGAACAGAAACAAGTGGATAAAACAAAGAAGCACGCGCGTAATCAGCATGTGGGACCTGGGAACACGTTCCACACAATATACAAAAGAGGGAAATTTGACACCCTCAAAAACTGCCATCCTCACCACTGGTTCAAGCTCATACATATACATTCACTCATACACGCTCTGTGTGTGTGTGTGTGTGTGTGTGTGTGTGTGTGTGTGTGTGTGTGTGTGTGTGTGTGTGTGTGTGTGTGTGTGTGTTTGTGTGTTTGTGCGTGTCAGATAGTACCCACAGGAAAAATATACAATAAAAATGAAATGTGAAATGTAAAAAATTATAAGAAGCTTGAGAAAAGCTCAGAAATAATTCGCAAATATTGAAAGTAAGGCTCAGGCTCAATCTAAGTGTGGATGCTAACATAGTGGATAGTCTTGTAATATTATTGTAAACTTAGGATAACCATTGTCAGGATCCTGTGGGACTTATTACTGTGTTTTATCGGATTGATCTGATTGATCAGTGGTCGGGCTCCTGACACGTTTTAACTTGATATGACGTTGGGGGATCTCTGAAGTTAACCTGCAGTAAAAACAACACATACTCATCTGTGCACATTTGGATCCAAATATGATCTAGTACAGGCACAGCCTCCTAGATGAGCCACATATTTTAATGCACTGATGGCAGTGTTTAGAGATAGGAGGAGAAACACAAAAGATTAGACACTGAAATGAGGGAAAAGAAAGGTTAGAAGAGATGTGGTGATGGAGAATATCGTATTCTCCATATACTTTACAAATTATTTTCTCAGAGAATTCGCAATTATAATAATATCCATATCATTTGCATTAAACACACACGTACAAGACATCATTGCCTGCCTCACACTCCATGCTTTACAAGGATAAAATGCTCACTTTCAACCCAAAAACATGTATTCACTATCTTCAGCACATGATTTTTTCCACTTGTGAATTTTTTATCACCATGAAAGTAAATGTCAAGCAAATTCTGCTAAGCTCCACTACTGAAAATATTTCTGTCTGATGGATTTTAATGCTCAGGCCGCTGCATCAGGAGGCAAAAGCAGATCATGCTGTTGCTGTTTTGTCTGTCACAGCAGTGTAGCCAGCGCTGTGAGCACTATCTAGCTTTGCTTACGAGTGCATTTCTGTGTGTGTTACAGGTACGCTTGTTTGGGAAAGTGCAGAGATAATGCAGCGTTATGGCATCCAACAGTCACATAAGGGGAGAAAATGTCCTGGTGTGTCAAAGACACATTTGAGGACAGAAGTTCTGTTCAAAATTTAAAGTGAAGTACAGTTAAAGAAATAGTTTGACATTTTGGCAATGTTTGCCTATCAAGAAAGTGAATTTCACGTTTCCCAAAATGTCAAACTACTGTATAAATCCTACCTTTAAGAGAAGGGATAGCATGATCCAGTTTTTCTCAGTTACCACAACTGGGATACAGTGAACCATGACGGTGAGTCAGCATGCATAATACCAACTTTGAACTAGCTCACCTACATGGAGTACAATTGTTTTTAATTGTATCAATTACAACTTTTGTGACATGCCAAATTTCCTACTGTGAAAAAAGTCAGTACAGATCTAATATTAGTGCCGTTTCTCCTTTCTTTTATTCGCTGTATAGGACTGCTTATGAACATTCTTCTTTGTACAAGGTAAACTGACTTAATAATAAGTGTGTAAGTGTATCAGATGGTACATCTTTCTTGTATCCAAGTATTCATCAGATTGGCTTAAGTTAATAGTCAGAATTAATAGTCATGACACCGAGAAGCATTAAAATATCCAGTGTGATTCCATGTTGTTATTTTTAAAACACACCAATAGTGTATTATAATATTACACATTACAGTACGATTTCCCTGAAACATGAAAAGCAAGCTCTACATGTTTTGCCTGCTAGACATGAAGGAAAAACCTCAACAACATAGAAAATGTTTCACCAGTTCGCCTTTATCCCTTTGTCTCTCTTTTTTCAGTTTTTGTCTCAGCTAATACCTGAGCCATGGCCATTCTCACATCATGTGCCTGTCATGAGTTGTGAGGCAATAGTCAGGGTGAGGGCCTGAGAGTCTGAGGTGGGGGGTAACCAGTGTGATGAGGGCTTAGACGGTCCAGTGCTGTACAATATGCACCGATGTGGAAAGATTGACCGATAGCCCCCTGGAGAGGGCGACTACGAAGGGGAGCAGAGAGGGGTCTGGCATGCCTGCAGGCGCTCTGTTTCAAGCAGGCAGCATTAAACACAGTGTCTTTAGTCTTCAGTGATCTCCTACGGACACGATACGTCCAACAAGATCTAAGACTCAAAGATGTGTGGATGAGAAGAGAAGCTGCACCTCCTACACACAGGCACTCTGGTCAGTGAAAATTAAAAACAGAGAGAGAATGTGCTAAGAATGGCAAAGACAAGAGTGGCAGCTGTGAAAGTGCAGTGTGGATGCTGTGTCACTGCGTCAATGGAATAAACAGAAGGCACGCAGAGAAAAAAAACTATGTGCTCGAGGAGTACAGTTACAGATTATTACAGCTCTCGGGTGTATGAAGCAGAGCAGGCAAAGTTATGAAGGGTCCCACAGGGATTACAACACGTGCTTCAGGGGGGGTTACCAGATCAGAGTGTGGGGTTAATGAATCCCACCTGTCAAACTATATAACGAATGTACGTGTAGTAAACAAATTTGTCTGCATTTTATCTCTCACCGGTTTCTTCTTGAGCTTCCTAGGTTGTAATTTTGTCATCAAGTCACTTAACAATTTTCCCACGATTGGTCCATAAACTTAAAAAGGCATGGGTAATAAGCTGATCAGTAATTCTGCTGTCTAAACAAGTCTGCTGTATTAGAAGAACACCCACGCAGTGGTTGCTAGCTGTCCGGGGCAGTTTTAATGACATTATTTTTCACCAAAGAGAGATGTGTGAAGCAGCGTCTCTCACTTGGAGGCCTAGACCAGAGGCCAGGCTTCAGGGAAAGCCTGAGGACAGAAATAACACAAGGAGTGGAAAAAAGGAAAAGGAGTAATGTAGCTTAGAAGTTAGAAAGAGGTGGGTGAGAAGAAGGTATATCTCTTTTTGTGGCTGAAATATTCAAGCCTGTCTAACGCTCTGAAACCAAATATGTTTCTTTGAAGCTGCTCGAATCAATATTTTTATATTTACAATGGATCAGTGTGTAAAAGATAAGACTCTTAGTGACAAACCCACAGCAAATTATCACTTGACTTTGCAGTTTTCCCTTGCTCAATGGATTTAACATTTTAGTACTGTTTTGGTTTTACAACCTGCAACTTTAATGTTTTGGTTCCCTCTCACCACTCCCATCAAACTTGTTTTCAGGCAGTCGTTTGCAGCTAAAAAGCTTTGATAAAGCCACTGTACGCTGCCTGCTCAGCACCACACAGCAGACAAAACTATAGCTAGTGAACATAGTGGAGCAATTAGCAACTAAAGGGTCCGATATTTCCCTCAGGAGTTGGTGGAGATCAGTGTGAATACTGGACTTAGACAAGGTCACCATATCAACATTACAAGGCATTAATGTGTAAATGTTGCTGTTCACAATACCTTTTAAAATGTGGCCTATATCAGATTCCAGTGTGAACTGTACAAAAGAACAAAAACAATGACATCTACGCAGCACGCTGTTGCACTAAAGTTAGGGAGGTTATGGAGGAAGTAAGCATTTTCACTTTTATTTCAAAATGTTTGTGTAATGGCAGCCGTAACATTAATGAGGAGGTGCTGAGGAGGAGAAGAATGAAGAGAAAGAGAGCCAAATTGGCTATTTTGGCCTTTTGCAGGGTTATGGCTGCAAATGACTTATTATTAACTTATTATTAACTCGCCGGCGCATAATTGTGTAAAATGTCGATGTAGATTGACATAAAAGTCGCATCAAATCCGCCGTCGTTGTCCACACTGCGGCTGCATTGAAAAAAATCAGACCTGGTTTCTGATTCAGGACCACATATGGAAGTGGTCTAAATCTGATTTGAACAAATCTGATCTGGGCAAGATTTGAGTGTTCACACTACTTCTGAAGTCTGCCCTGGTCACTGGACCCGAAAAAAAATCTGATTTGGGCCACTTTTGCCTGCAGTCTGAACGTGGTCTAAGGGTCTGGTCTGCTTCACTTAACTAGCAGCTGGACACATGGTGGGTATCTTGCTTAATGTGAGTGGAAGAATTGAAGGAGTGGAGTGTGCGTGTGTGTTGGCAGTTGATAACATTGTATATATATATATATATATATATATATATATATATTTGGATATAGTTTGAATAGTCTTTTTTTTCCAGCAGGAAAAACAGCAGAGCAATGATAAACATTAGCAGCTGTGGGCCTGACTCACTTTAAAAAGTGTTTTCCTGCAGGTGTCCCTGCTGTTCCACACAATGAGGACAAAGAGCGATAAAACAGCATAAAGACAAGACAAACAGGGGATAATAAAACAAGTTAGACAAAACATTCTTCATATGAGGGCTAAAAACATATATTTATAAGTGAATACAAAACAAAAAGCATACATAATTTGACAGAAAACATCTAAATCTAAATTTAAATGTATACA